CGAGTCCTTGCTGTTTTCAAGGCAATTGTTTTGGAAATGGTTTGCCAGAGCCTCCTTCCTAGAGCAGAGCCCAGCTGGCGAGCGCAGGCGGCAGGGTTTCCGTTGCTTACCATCCCATATTATCTCCTTTTCTTATATTGTCTAAACATTTACTCTTGCTTTCAATCAAGGAGTTCACACAATTTTTTTAAGGGAAAATGATAAGTTGGGTAAGTTTAAAATGAATTTATTTTTGACTGTTAAAAACATTAATTAAAAATTCCATAAATTTAATAAAAAATTATTAAATTTATGGAATTTTGTTCTTATATATGATAGCAGTAAGGTTTTTATATGTACAAAGGTGGAAGGATCTGGCATTATCTACAATCTACAAGAATGGATGGTGAAGCTGATGGAGTTGGCTGAGACGGTGAAACTGATGGCTTTTATTTGAGAAAAGACATTGTGTAATTTTAATGTTCATTGGAAATTGTTCTGTTTCTGCAGGAAACAGAAAAAATGAAATTATGTTGTATAGATATTAGAAATAATATGGGATTATAGTAATAATGAAAGTTATGTCATACTTAGAGCAAGAGATTGATGTATACTGTTATTTATATCTTGTGAGGAAGGTCAGAAGTCAATTCTTTTCCTTCCTTTATCTTTGTTTTTTCACACTTCTGACCTTGGTCATTCTTTTTTTCTAATTTTCTTTTTTTTATTTTCTTCCTTTAATATTAGTTTTTGTTAGTTTTTACTGTTTCTATTTTAAAATTTAATAGTTGTTTAAAAAAAAGCAGCTTGCACAAGTATTAAGACAGATATGGGTAATACATGGATTTTATGTTTTCAGAAATGGGGGATCAACTGATGTACACGTCTTTATTTTGGCAGCCCTAGTTGTAATTTGAAAATCACACATCTCATGCAGCCTAATCTAGTAAAGTTTTCTATCTGGTGTCACAATCTTTCTTAAGGCTGTCATCAAACATCATACATTCCTTAGTTTTAATGTTTAGCCAACTGTTTCTTACCCTGCTTTGAACAGTTTCCAATTATTTATCAAACGCACATGCTATCAAATTTTAAGCATCTCATAGTAGCTTACAATGAGATGATATAAAACCTCCATAACAATGTGTTTAACAAAATAAAAAATAATACACACAATGAATAATATAACCAATAAACTAGCTAAAGAAATGCAGCTTCAGATGCTGCAGAGTCATTCACAAGGGCCTTCCAGAAGATGTCAGTTTTCAAAACTTCCTGGAACACCATCATGGAGGGGAGCAACCTAGCTTCCAGAGGAAGGTTGTTGCAAATTACAGGGGGCATGATGGAAAAACAGCATCACCCTCCTTTGGATCCTCTCATCTCATGGATCTGGAACACCTCAAGTAATCTCTCCCAGGGAGAAAAAGTAGAGAATTGGTGGGCTATTTTGTGATGTTGGTTAGTCCTACTAAAGATAAGACTAGGGGAAATATGCAGCACCAGCACATTAGAGGCAAACGTAACACTGGACCCCCATAATTTCATGTGATTGAAATTATGAGGTTCTCAACTGATGATACAGAGAGGACTCAGCAGCACAGGTGGGACCCATGAAAAAATTATGGTTTTAAAACATGGGTTTTAAATACATGGTTTTAAAATACATGGTTTTAAAACGTCCAATAAATTACAAATGTAAAAAATTACAATAAATTACAAGTATAAGATAATGCCTGTAAGCATAATGTCCTTTTCAGAAAAAAAGCAACCTTAAGCTTCTGAGAAAGTCAGTTTGGTGTAATGGTTAAGGCATCAGGCTAGAAATCATGAGGCAAGCGTACACACACACACACACAAAAAACCTTCTGAATGAAAGACAGAAGCAAATAAACAGCCAAATAGGTTTTTGTTTATAACACGGTGGGTGTCTAGATTCTTAAGAGAAATCAGCAGGATCTGAAGGGAAAGGGTAAGAACCACGCTGCTAAACTACCTTGCTACCTTTTTCCCTGTCACAACCTGCACAGGTAAAGCATAAGTGGACCTTTGCGTTCAATTCCTCACACACCCAACATGGCCCAGGAGCCACACCCACTGGCAGCTTCTTCCTTCTCCAAAATTTAGTCTACAGTATAGTTACTAATTTGCCTGTAATAGTCCTGACCCTCAAATAATATTCCCCTCGCAACAAATATGCCTATAATAAAGCAATCAAATCCTGATCTGATTTATGAAAACCATCAGTACTGTCCAGCTCCCAGATGAAGAACCAATAATAATCAACCTGTTTATATGAACTTTATATAATTCTCTCGCCGCAGTTATTCTCCCACTCGCCCAAACAGACGTTTTCTTTCTTTTACTCCTCTGCCCCTTCCCCGCTCCGGGCTCCACTTTCTTCCACCTCGACTAGCGTTCCCCAAACGGATGCCCTCAGGTGTGCTGTATTACAACGTCCATCATCCCCGGCCAGCTTGAGCAAGCAGGAGATAATGGAAGATGGAATTCGACCCATCTGGAGGGGAAGACTGGCGGAAAGCGTGCTCACCGCTGTACCGACCTCCCGAGATCGCACCAGCCCTCCGTAAGCAGCGGCCCTTCTTCTCAGGAAGAGCCTCGCCCAGTTTCTGTTCCGCAAAGCAACGCAATGTAAGGCACCGCACCGCAAAGCACGACAACACAATACAATCTGCAGCAGCCAGAAGCCCAAGGCAGGCCGCTCAGGTATTTAAGGGGCGGCGCTTCTGCAATTCCCCTTCCCCCTGCTCCCAATTGTGTAATCAAACCAACTCTCCCACGTGGGAAGCAAGCGAGTTGTTAGCCCCACAAAGCGCATGCGCCCCGCTTTGCTTCTGGAAAGATTTTTTTTCCCTTTAAGATTCCTAGACTAACTTAAGCTTCGTTGGATACGCCCACCTCCTGAGGATAATCAGGGTCACGTGATTTCGCGCGAGGCGAAAGTCAACGGTAGTCCAGTCTTTTTCAAAGTGGACGGCTAAACCTGTGCGGACTTCAATTCCATGCTGGCTAGGGAATTCTGGGAACTGACGTCCACACATCTTAAAGTTGTTCAGTTTGAAAAACACTGTGGTAGTCCGTGAACTCCGCGGGGAAGAGCCAAAAGAGAGGTGGGGTGTTTGGGAAATCACGTTTGTAGGAGCGGTTGCCAAGGAAAAGCGGAATGAATGCCACTCGGATCTTGTCCCACCCGGACTTTTTCAGAATGGAACATCGGCCTCTTCCGGTTTGGATCACGGAGATACGAAATGCTTTGGAATAACTGTCAGTCCCAGTTTCCGGCATAGGCGAGGAGACGCTGATTTGGCGGGCGAAAAGAAAATATCAGGGAAACATTTCTGTCATGGCGCTGGGGAGGACGGCAGCGAGATGCTGGCTTCGGAGCGGCTCTTTCCTGGAGTCACGTTTCTTTTGCGAGGCTCCAAGAATGAAATCCGGATGTCGCCGTCAGCTTTCTTCAGGACACGGAGGAAAATGGCGAGGAGAGGTGCGGTTGGTTTATAGGCGCGTCCCTTCTTATCCTCCCCTGTGTATGGCCGGGATAGGAGAAAGTGAGGGCTTTGGTCTGAGTGAAAAGCTCGGCTCTCTTAAGGCTTTTTATCTGTCCTCGTCTTTTACCCGTTAATTATTCCTTCATACCTCAGCCTGTGAGGATAAGCTGTGCTGAGCAGGAAAGGCAGAAAAACTAGGACAGTCAAACCTATGGTTTTTTTTCTTTGGATGAGAGAAATGTATGGCGTTTTGAGAATGTTTGGTTCACTGACGTGCAGGTCACAAAGAGATGCCAAACGAATTCCGACTGGCCTGGTGCTTCCACGTTGTTCTTAACGTCTGTTCTTTTGTTACAGTACTTTGTTTTTGGACAAATATCCCCTTCCCCTGAGACAGAATGGTTGTCCACACAGCATGGGGGGGTGGGGTGTCATGATTTTGTTGTTTTGTACCTTCAAGTTAGCGTTGACTCCTGGCAACTTCCTGGACTAGTTCCTGCGGTTTTCTTGGCAAGATGTTCAGATATGGGTTGCCATTGCCTCCTTCCTAGGGCTGAGAGAGAGTGACTGGCCCAAGATCACCCAGCTGGCTTTGTGCCTAAGCCAGGACTAGTAAACCCAAACATTCAGGCCACACTTTGCTTAGCTAATCTGTGTATGTACTGTGCATATGTTCTCCAAGATGGCTAACATGCAATAAAAAGAATCAGGATCTATATTCTAACATCTCTCAGTGAGAGCACTTTAAACATTTTTAAATATGCAATTAAAATGTCTGCTTTAGCCTAACTAGTTTTAAATACCTATTTTTCCTGCATATTAAATAACAGGAGGAAAAGGTACACTGAGACTTGAGTTTTTAAGCTTACAATGCTTTCTGCTTTATTGTAAACAAGGTGCCCTGATAAAATGATCACAAATGAGAGTGAACCAAAAGTAGCAGTGAATTAGGATTTGGGGCCAGAAGTATAGAGCTTATTAACAGAATGAGCTAAAGAACTGTGAAGTACAACAGGTAGCTTTTAACACATTAAAGTATGTGAAGATATATATTACCATAAAAAAGGCAGAGTGATCCTAATTACATGTTATAGTAAGCCACAATATATCTATCTAAGCATAGTGCGCCATACTAATGTTGCTCAGATCCCACCTTTAGCCCACTTTGTGGACATATGTCCTCAGGCTGAAGAAACCTAATATCAGATTTGTGAATAGTTCTGTTGAATTAAATGTCCTTCAGGATGCAAATGTATTTGCATAATAAATGAGCCTCCCTGGGGACACATACACAAATATTATTACTGTTATCATTGTATCTAAATTTAATTTAAAGCTTATCTTCCAGGAAACATGCAGAAGACTGTTTTCCAAAAGTGCAATAAATCCTCAAAGTACAAAACCCTCAATGGAGGGAAAGGGTCCATTAAACCCAATGTCTAATTTCATAATTGATGTAATTTATGTTATGTACATAATGATGTAACTGACATTTTGCATCATTTGTCTAAAATTACATTATTGTAATGTGTGTCAATTTAGATTATTTCAGAAAAGATGTAATTGATCCAGGTGGTATAAAACATCCATTATCCCATTACTCAAATAACACAAATTGTATCAAATGTCAAGACAAACTTAGAAACCATCAGACTTGTCTGTCATACGTTTGTGAAGTCTGAATGCATATTTGGTCTGTTGCACTGAAAGTCTGATAAATTGAGTTTTCACTACAGTAGATTCTCAAAATTTACTTGTTGGATTATACAGTATGCTATGAAACATTATAGTGGGAGAATGAGAATTCAGTTGGAACTTTCAATGCATAGTTTCTATACAACCAATCTAATTCTATATCTCTTCAGTTGATATCTTTTAAAAATAAATTTATACTTAGGATTGTAGCCTTTGTGTTTTTCTTTATTAGGTGTTTGAAAAATCCAGAATTTTCAGAAGAGGGTTTACATTCTCAACATTGTCTTACTTGGGATATAATGCTTATCTAGTAATCTCTCAATCTGCTATGGTTCATGCTGATGTCAAAGGTAAGATAAAATTTCTAAAAATGCACGGTTGTCAAATCCAATCCTCCATCCCTAAAAAATAAGTTTTTTTTCATTAGAGGAAGTAGAATGATTGTGACTGCTGATAAAGAAATGCAGCTTGCTTTCTCTCTCTTATTTATTTATAAATCAAATTTATAAAGCCACACAACTCACCAGAACTCTGGCAGTATACGGGCTATATAATGCAATGCAATGCAATGCAGTGCAGTGCAATATAATAAAACAAAGAATGTGATAACCAGGGAAACAACATACCCCAGTAGAAAACACAATAACACTCAGGTGACACGTACTCCACCTTACCCAAGGCCTAAGGAGAAAGCCAGGTGTTCAGTACCCATTTAAAGGACAGTAGGGTCCGAGTTACTTAATTCTTTGGGGACTATCTAATGGAAGACGGTACTTGATGATTCTGAAGGCCTAGCTTTGGTGTGACTGGGGAAGGATTCAAAAGGGAAAATTAGTATCTTTAGCCTTGCAAAGATTTAGATACTGATTTTGTACTCTAAAATTAAAAAGGGAAACATTAGCCTGATGTGAGCGTGGAACTTTCAATCAGTACCTTAAAACCCTGAAAGTTTAAGGAACCCATTTTACCTCTTACCCTCTATATGAAAAAGGAGAGTCTGAAAATTTTGGGATGTGCTTATGGACTATACTTTCGTATGCCTTCTATCAGAGCTCTTAAACTGAACCTTGAAGCACAGGAATTAGTTATGTATTTAAAGGAATCAGACACCAAGACTTTAGGAAAATACTGAAGATATAGAAGTTCAGACATAAGATCTTGATTACTGAGATAAAGATTAGCACAGCTATCTATATTGCTATAGATCTTGCTGCTGATGGATAATTTGAAATATATATAAAATTGGGTTTTGTTTCTTTTCGAAGTTTATATTTTTGTAAATGCATATCTAAAAATCATATTTAGCATATTAATATACTTATTCAAAAGCTTATCATGTTTCTTCTCTGGCTTACTTTGTCCTTTTATATATCCTCTCTCTAATACTTATATGATTTATATCTTTTGGATTGTTTGTGTCAACAATACTGCTGACTTGTGATTTATGGTTCAACTCATCTGAGACATGGTAAATTGGGGAAGACCAGGCTAGATCAGTGTTTTGTCTTATAATGTTAATCTTTTTGACATTGACTCAAAAAGAGAGGTAATTGTTGGAAATAATTCCCTTTAATAGATTCAGCCTAACAATGCCCTATAAAGTTGTTGATAGAAAGAAGCAAATTTATTTTGACTGGCATGATGCTACTTCTGTTAAAACAGTCCTCTCTTTCTGACTTGTAATATTAGTATGTCTGTATGCAGTCACATGAATTATTTTTCTCTTAAGTAATACCTGTTTCACAGATTGGCAGATTCACTGAAATTTTTGTTTTATTATATTTTAAGATGATGAAGTCATAGATCAAGCAGACTATCTCTATAGAAGCGGAGAAACCGAAAAACTTTATCAGCTGTTGATTGAATACAAGAACAGGTATGCTGTTGTAGCATGCTCTGATGGGGTGGGATTGGCATAGAGGGCGCAGCAATGATACAACATCACTGGAGACATGGAAGGGCTGATCACAATTTCAGGGTCTTTCATTATAATGGACCTTTTGAGTCCTTTTACTGTCATTTGAAAAACAACTTTTTCTTCTCATTGCTTTCAGTGGAGAAGAAATAAAACAAGCTCTACGACCATCACAATTTATATTCTAGTGATTCATTTTGAGATCAGGGGAGCTGTGAATGCACAGTCTCTCTAGGCATATCTCCTATCTGCTTTGATAATCAAAGTCCTGTTCTCGACTTTGGAGAAGCACAGGCTGCAACTATAAGGCTTGCAAAATTAGATCTCAGAGGTAGAACTCTCTCTGCCCTTGCAAAGAAAAATATGAAAAATCCTATAGTCCTTAGGATATCTACCCAGGAACTATGATACTACTGTAAGAGAACTGAAGTAAAATTTTAGTGCTGAATTATGATGAAAGAAAATATTTGCTAATGAGACCAAGAAGTTGATTTTTTTATATAGTCTTTCACTGCTTACTGAAAATGTGTCACACGTTTACATGACTAAAGTTCATTCATCTCTTTTGGGTCTATAGTCTACATGTCGTAACTTTCTTATACTGAATTGTGTTTCTACTCAATTGAAAATCAGTATTGAAAACTTAATTGAAAATAATTGTTTTAAAAAATACTGTGAAAACTATTCATCTCTTTCCCTGTTTAAAATCATACAGTTTTAACTTTTATCATTTATTGTATGAAACAATATATGGATGATGCTGTGTTGTAATCTGATTAATTTAATCCTTATGTACTTTGAGTATACATAATCCAACCTTATCTCCTTGTTCTTCTTCTTTTGAATACAAAGCCTCTCCCCTTCTCATTTCTATAGTTGGGAGCAATATAACAGTACATCTTTGTTCCTGTTTTCACTAACATAGTTAAGTCAAGGCACAGTATAAACATAATTACAAACAAGTACTTTACAGCTAACTGTATCTACACTGGGGCAAAAAAGTATTTAGTCAGCCACCAATTGTGCAAGTTCTCCCACTTAAAA